GAATTGAGGTCAATTAAGATCAAATTGATAGACATTTGGGATGGATTTAGGGAATTTTGGGTCTTTAAAGGGAAATTTGGGGATTTTGGTTAAAGATGGTCAAATTGGCCAAATTAGGTCATGTGGTAGTTGAAAGAAATAAAATTGGGAATATTTGAGATTTATTGGCATTTTCTGAGAATTTTAGAATTTTTGTGATTTTGGATTAAAGAAGGGTTCCAAGGGCAGTTAGGTAACTTGGGGGTGTCTGGGGCAAAAGACCCAAGATGAGCATTTCAAATAGAATTGGATAGATATCCATTCTAAATGACCCATGGATCAATGAAATCCTCATTTTGGGTTCTTATGTATTGGTCTTATCCAGGGTATTGTGAGGGTATTGGGTACCTTAGCTCCAAACCAACACCCAGGGTCAAACCTAAGGTCAAGTTGCCCTATAGGAACTCTCATTGGTTTCCCTCATAATGATCTTACCTACTAAGTGCTAGAGGTTAGGACCAATATGTGGAACTTCAAGTTGAGTAAAGAGAAGAGTTTTGAGTTTCTAATGGTGAGGGTACATTTTCTAGTTTTCTAAGACTAGTCAGTAGGAAAGTCCTATGGCTAGACCTAGGCTACTAAAAAAATTTCTAGACCTCAACCAAAAGTGAGGTCAACATGAGTCTTCTTTATAACCTATTGGAGGCAATGTCCCTCTAATCAGTTTGCATCTAACTTTTATTGTCTGGACTTCCAACAGTTCAAAAATAGTGAGGAGTGAGAAAAGATCTTTTTTAGGATCATTCTGTTTATCATCGACATTAGCTTCATTAGGAATATCTAAAGGTTGGATAGCTTTCTCAATTTGGATGGGAGCAGCTCTTAATTTTTTTAAGAACTTTGATGAATTTATTTTAAGAGAGAATGTGAGCATAATTTTTTGTCTGTTTTTTTTTAAAATAAATTTAGGACCAGCTAACTAAATGAGTATAATAAGGAGCAGTTATCAAACCCTAAACCCTAAACCCTAAACCCTACCCTAAACCCTATTTCATTTATGAGAACCATGGGCATGTCAATAAAACTTCTTCTTATTTATGCCTTGCCTATGGAAAAAAATTTGATACCTCCTATCCACCTAAGCTTTAACTTGAGCACAATTGAGCCAAAATAAAGCTGCGATCACTGCATTATCAGAGTTGGAAGGTGATTTAATGTATATGAATTTGCCAGGTAGGGATCGAGACAGGGTTTATTTATCTACTACCAGACTATGTAGTTTGTAGCGTTGTACTAGCTCTTTTAACATTAAATTGTAGCAATCCAACATGTTTTCTCTTGTAGGATTGTCGTTTGAGCCACTGATTGGAGCTATATCAGCTGGAAATGTTGTAGTCATGAAACCCTCAGAGCTTGCTTCTGCTTCCTCCAACTTTCTGGCAACCAACCTGCCCAAATATTTGGATAATTCCGTGAAGGTTATAGAAGGTGGTCCTCACATTGGAGAACAACTCTTGAAACACAAATGGGATAAGATCTTCTTCACTGGTAATTACTATACTATTCTCAGTATCTTCTTCTTCAAACGAATGCCCCATTTACACCTCCTTTTTCTTTCCCAGGGAGCTCAAGAGTTGGAAGGATTGTTATGACTGCTGCTGCTAAGCATTTGACTCCAGTCTCACTTGAGCTTGGAGGAAAATGCCCTGCCATTATAGATACACTCTCAAGAGCAAGAGATATAGAGGTTTGTTGATACATTTATAAAAATTAATGTAAAACCCCTCAAGTAGAATTAAGCTAAACTCTTAAACATCAAGACACATTTTTGTGTAACGATTGAAGTTTCAACAAAAACTCCGTAAGTGTTCTGGTATAAGCGCACACTTAGGATGGGTGGCTTCCCAGGATGTTACACCAATAGGACAAAACTCTATTTCTATTAGGCTAAGGAGGAAAATATCTCAATGGATGAGAGTTTGGTATGTAAAAAATGGTATCGAAATATTGAACCAGTCTAAAGATGGGAATTAAATGTCATTCAACGAAGCACTACATGATTGGAGCCATCTCTTGAACTCTAGATGAGATGAAGTGCTACATGGTGTGAGCCATCACTTGAATCTGTAGAGGGTACTTTTTGTGGGGGGGGAGTTGTAAATCTCTTATGTAGAATGAAGCTGAACTCTTAAACTTGCAGGTTTTTTTGGTGCAACGATTTGAGTTTCAATAAAACTCCAAAGTTAAGCATGCTCAAAGAGGAGCACTCTCAGGATGGGTGATCTCCCAGTAAGGTACACCAATGGGACAAAACTGTAAGCCCATAAGGCCTGGTGGACAATGTCTCAATTGATGAGAGTTCAACTTCTCTTATAGTTTATTGTGTTGGAAACTTTGACTTTTTTTGGAGCAATACCTTTTTGTTTAGGTAGAAAATTAAAAAAATAAATAAATAAACTGCAACAATAATTGAATTTGATATTCTTATATGAAAATCTAGACAACAAAGGTGGCAAGTTGAGACCATGTTCGTATCTCATTGATGCAATCATGATTACTCGTTTAGTGCAACCTTATGTTCATATCTCGTTTTATCTTTTTTTTGCTTTCTTCTCTTACTTCCATTTTTGACAACTGCAAATCTTCAAGAAAACCTATCAAGAATGAAAACCGTTCAAATGAAAACTGTCCAAGTCTTAGTAATACATTAAAGTAACATTTACAAACCTAACTTTCAATCATGTATGCCATTATCATGACATAAAAGAGTCTAACTTAGGTTCTTGAATGAAAATTTGCATACCCCATGAAAGTGATGAAGTTGGAAGATGGATGCTTACCAGGAGAAGTGCTGACACCATGAGAATGAACTATCTTCCGTAATTTAGTCACTACAAAAGTAAAATGTGTAAGAATCCTTCATGCAGACATTGGTGGTAGATTCTGAACGAATTTTCAAACATTATATGCCCTTCTTCTAGCTGCAAGGACATAGGATAGTCAGCATTTGATATTTACTTGCACTGCATTGCAAAGTATCAACCTTATTTCATTAAAAATATCATACAATTTCTATAAAGCCCATTGGTTGCTCATCAGTACCACCACTCCAACCAGCAGGAAACCTGCTATCAAAATAAAGAATGTTAAAAATTGCAATAGATACGTATAAAATTCACTAAGTCACATACAACCTGTATAATTTCATATGTTGCTCATCACTACCACCAGTCCAACTGGCAAGTAACCTGTCATCAGAATGTAATATATTTAAAAAACTGACTTCGAATAAAATTCACATATAATCCTTTCAGAATGAAACATAAAAGGTGCAGTCAACGTAATATTTTTAACCCAATTATGTTTGAGACAACGCGAATTTAAAAATCTCATATCCGATTTCAACTCTAATTAATGACATGAATTCCTGGCATCCTAATTTTTTTACCTAATTGCCTCTATTTTTCAGTACAAGTGTTTCCATATATTTACAATTAAAAACACCACAATCAAAATCACTGTTATGCATCAGAATGCATTTGGTTATTACAACTTGTCACTTTCTCAAATCAACTTTGAAGGCTTCCCCGACATCCCTTAAAAAATGTTTAATTTATATATTTAAATGTAAAAATAAATCGACAATAGTATAGGACAATGCATAAAACAATATTACATAAAACAAGATGTCATTAGTTAATGTTTTGGTGTGTGGTCTTACAATGTCACTGGTGATACACAAATGCATTTTGATGGGTAAAGAGTCATATAGTCTCCATTTACGCTCCGTTAATGTCCCAACTAGCAGTGTCCAATGTTGACTATTGATTATCAGTATCAGAAGTAACTTTACCTTCTCAATAATATCCTTCGTAATGTGTTCGACAAATGGTTTCATTTTATCTTCTTTGTACTACATAAAAAAAACAATATCACATATGAACTATTGTCATGTTAGATGTATTTAATTGCACTCTAAAACACATGAATTTTGAAAATTACCCAATGACATAGACACACATATATGTAGGATCTATACAGTTGGGGTGTGTTGCATCTCTTATTCTCCATCGACATGACAAAACAATCAACTTGTTCATTTTCTAACCAACCGTTCGTCAGTAGTTTATCGAGATAACGTCAAGTTAATGAAACATGCCTCATATTAATCACTAAGTCACTTCTGCATTTGAAATATATAATTATTGCAGCAAATGAATACAAAAGTAATTCAGAAAACTAAAAAAATATAGTGCATTAACAAGTCAGTGAATATGCTATAGCATAGATCGATTGTTTCCTTCATATACTCTGAAATTTGTTCTCTAGTGGAAAAATTGACCACTAGTGCTGCTGGATGGACTTATAAGATCAGCAACTCACAAGATATAATTCCAATATTTAAGTTTGGAGAGTAAACACTAAAAGAAAACATTGTATACCTTATCAGAGGGTAGTCATCACTAACATATTGCCTGTTCGTTCGGTGTTGCTCGTCCTTTTTATCTACAATTTCAGTCTCTTTTCGTGGAGATTGTGTTTGCTGAACTTTGTCTTCTTCCTCTTTATCTATAATTTCAGCCTCTTTATTTACCTCTTCAAGTTCTTCTTTATGAGAGTGTTTTTTGTTGAACTTGGTCTACTTTTCCTTTATTTACAACTTTAACCTGTTAGTTACTGGATGTTGTTAGTTGAATTTGCCCTGATTGCTTAAAATTTATAATTAATGAGCCAGAAAAAAAGAATGATATTATAGGATGCTTTGGAGCTGGCTCTTCCGTAATATTTACCTATTTAATGAGATCCATTTTGGTGATAAAATGTTTCTCCACTTTGTCAATATGTACATCCTTTTCAGCCGTCTCCTTTATTGGTTTTTTCTTTTTCATCCGTTCGAAAACCATAAATGGGGAACTGAGAAGCTTTCTTCTACTTTATCTTGCCTTAAACATTTGGATTAAGCTTCATTGTGGGGACTCTTTTACCCATCTCTTAGAAAATTTCTCGTATGGTTGTTTTATTATTTTTTCTTAATTAGTGACTTGACACTTTAACTCTGTCACTGTATTTTATAAATTCGTCAAACGAGTATTAACTGAGTCTTGAAAGTCTAAAAGAATTTTCTGTTGATCTTTATGTAATTTGTCTATTTTTTCAAATTCAATTCGAGGGCTACTACGTGCATATGTGTGTCTATGTGTTGGTTGAGGAGTAATATGCTAAGGAACTAGAGGGGCAACCTCAACGAACGTGGACGAATGTGGGCTAGATTGATTCTTTCGTTGTGGTAGAAGTTTTGTAGGATTTGATGGTTCTTCTAGTGGAGGGCCAAGTAAATGATGTTCACTGTCTTTTAAATCAATGAAATAATCATAAACTTGCAAAACATTACAGACAATCAAGACTAATCAAAGTATAACATGAACATAATAATACTTTTTGCAGGATTAGGAAATAAATAACTCATCTCGGCAGGACAGAACCTCTTAAAGGCTAGCTGAATCTGTAAAGATTTTTATCTTACAGTTACTGGTCACCTCAACATTCGTGCTCTAACCTCAGGAACTGTTGGGAGGACCAAGGACGTGTACTCACAAAACGAGAGCTTTGTGAAACATGAGAAAATAATAAATTGTTATGTCCAAAATTATGAAAATATATTTCAAGTGTTATGTGCAGGACAAAAATCGTTAGAAGGAAAATAAAACCATTAATGTATTCAAGTTTCATGACATAGAGGTTCAGTTGTTCAGTCAGAAAATCGCATATTGTAGCAGACCAATTATACAAGGTAAAAACTTCTACATTATCACAAAGAGAATAGATTTTTGGACACTCTAAAATTATTTGAAGTAAAAATTAAATTTGTCAATAAAAACTTGATTAATAATTCTACAAAGCGATGAGAAGACTCCCCTGGTGAAAACTTGAGAAGTTCGGTCTTTCTCTGTCTTGCATCCATGCTATAGGACATAACTTTATTCCAGCATACTAGTGACCCTTTATTGGGCATGCATATTGATCTCGACTGTTTATATGCAATAATATAACAATGACTTTAATTATAATTTTTACTTATATTTCATTATTTTGCAACAGAAATAAAAACTTGATCCTGATAAAAATAAGAATTTAACTCTTTAATTTACATATATTGAGATACTATGCAAGTATATGTATCATTATCAAATAATATATGACTTTTTTGATTAAGACCTCAATATCGAACCCACAGGAAAATTATGCAATATGCACTATTGAACAACAAACTTTCTATTCTAAAAAAATAATTACTTAAATTATAAATATTTTCACAATATTAAAATTCAAATCTTTTTTTTTTGGTATTTTTGATATTTTTTGAGTTTGTGTAAAAGAAAATCACTTGATATGAAAATATCTTTCTCCTTATCATGAATTAGCCTTATCATGAATTAGTAATAAAAATTAGTAATAAATATAGGAATTCTATTGTGAAAGTATGCTAATTGTGTTGTGCCAACTAGACGCAATTATATTTTTTACCCTTACTAGAGATGCTATAAAAAAACATTGACTAATTTAAAGTTTGAATAATTCTGAAGACCGGCTAGGCAGAGAAGATACCAGCTCTCATTCTAGAGTTCCCTTGATTCCCTTCACCTGGGGGCTAACATCTAGTATTAGAACCTAAAACAATAAATCAAGTTAGACCTAGGAGTTGGTTTTCTTGTATTTTTCTTTTGTTTTAGTTTAGGGGTTCTACAC